AAAAATAATTATAATACTTCGGAATTTTTTTGTTGAAAATTTAAAAATTTCTATACTTTAGTTTTTTGAATATGTAATCATTACACTGTATGTAGAATTATATCTGCAACAATAATATACATATTTTTTTGTGGGATGTTAAAATTATTCTTGATTTATTCAACTGTGTAGTAAATTTATTTTAGACTTAAAAAAAACTCAAAAATTTTTTTCCAAATAAAGTGAAACAGATCATTTCTCTGAAATACAATGGAGAGTTGGACTGATCGAATTTTTAAAACGATCAGTAGTGTAAGTTTCTTTGTAATGGTATGTACCAAAACCATAAAATAATATAAATATCAGTACCGGAATTATTACGACACTGCTAATCCGAAAATCCAGTAACAGACTGAAAGTGGATAATCTAATAATCCGAACTATATTAACTGGAACATTTTTAAATGTAGTCTAGATTATAAGGTTAATTTCAGGATTACAGTTTCAATGTTTATTGATATTATGTTAAACAGTTAGTATAAAATTAATTATAATTTTTTTTCCACATTTTTTATTTATCTATGATTATTCGGTAATTCGGAATATTCACTAATACGGACTAAATTCAGAACACTTTATTTTGGATTATCAATATTCTAGTCTATATGAATTTAATTAATTTTGATCTTTATATCGGTAAATCACCAACTAAAATTCTATTAATTTATGTTAAACACCTTTCGTGATATTTACGTAGATATATTTTTAGAAAACTTGTACACCCTATACTTCGAAGAATGAGAAGTTATTCCTTAATATGATTTAAAGAATCACTTCTATAATCTATCATTATCTAGAAAAGACGAACTGCAAACATGGAGGAACTTCCCTCTGGACATAGATGTTGAGGTAAATATTAACATACAGTATACAAGCTTTATTTATTTAATTTTAAATTAATCCAAAGTAGCTAGATCAATTAAGAAGCTTCCATTCGACAACTCGCCGGTGCCGGCTCGTGAAAATTAAAGTGTTCATATTTTGACAATGCGGCATGGGACCCATATGGTTTTTTAGTAGATGATTTCTTGTCTCACAACTTTTTTACTAAAAAAATTTAAACTAAACTTGCAAAATGAGAAATTAAAATAGCGACGGTCGATCTGTTTTTTGAAAAATAAAACACCTGTTTGTATCTGTCAATTATTGATTATGGAAAAAAATATTTTGTAAATATATACACAACCCTTTTCAACACCTCAGGTTCATACACCTCTAGTTTCTTTTTATATTTCTCAAATTTCGATAAAAAATTTTTCATTGCAAAATTTCTAAGTGCCTAGAAATCATCACTGCCTTCCATTGGTATAACACACTAAACAGTAAGGGGGTGTCCATTAATTATGTGAGTTCAAAATGGGGGGAGGGAGGGGTTCGGTATAAAAATCTCATTTAAAGGGAGCGTGGTCATTGAAAATCTCGGGTCAACTTTTTTATTCAAAGAATATTATAACATTTTGTATTGCAAAATTGATCACGGGCATAGACAATACTAAATATTTTCTATGCCCGGGATTCTTTTAAATAAATTCGTTATGGTACACCCTTAAATATAGTATTATTTTTCTCCTCTTATTTCATCAGTATTAACATAGGTATTTAGCGGTGTGTAGCAAAATACATGAACATATCAAATAAATTTAATTATTTAAAAATTATAGGGTAAATCTCACATGAGGGGGAGGGGGTCCTACCACATCTCACTAAGGGGGAGCGAGGGGTCCAAATAAAAAAAAACCACACCGCACATAATTAATGGACTTCCCCTAAATTAGAATTAGTTAGATCACCAAAGTATCGCTTAATGTATGTCCCGAAATTCATGCAACAAAATATCGTCACAGATGCTTAACACAAATTTAGGGGACTCGTATTTTTTATTTTTGACAAATGGCCCCTTCTTCCGGAGTTACAGCCCCATGAAGTCCGCCCCTAAGAATAATCTTCTTTTTATATCTCAGAGCCCTGTTGTATGAGAATATGATGGCACTATGTTTTTTGGCGGGGAGCCCCCTTAAGACAATTTTTCGTAGACCCCCGTGACTTTGGAGCCAAAAAAATTTAGTCGCATATTTAAATTTTGTTAAAATTATCAGTCCACTAGAAAGCTATTAAATTTAGAAACTTTTTGTCTCTATACTTTTTTCGTAAAACGCAATGTTTTCGAGAAAAATGTCAAAATGTGATTGAATACATATCATGATTCATCATTTTCATCAAAAACATTGTGTTTTACGAAATAAATATCAAGAGACAAAAAAGTTTCTAAATTCAATGGCTATTCTTGTTTTTTTCGAAAAATCAATGTTTTAGCTTTAAAACGCGACCAAAGTTTAACACAGACTATACGTATGATAGCTATAGATATATGCGTGTGTTAAGTTTAACAGCATTTTACAGCTTGAATATTACTTTTTCGAAAAAAACAAAAACTTTTCAAAATAAATAACTTTTACTTGAAAGATATTTTCATAAAATGACAAATAAACTTTACAGCTTTATAAACAATTAAATTGTTAATAACAATTTTCCTGACCTGATTAAGTAAAATTGAGTTGCAGATTCGAATTCAGCGTGAGAAAATACATGCAAAAAATATACGTGCAAATATACGTGCAAAAAATACGTGCAACTATAAAATACTGTAATCTGGAAAATACGTAGGCCGATTCGTGGGGGGCAGAGTCAAGTGGGGTAGTTTGATAGTCAAAAATGTGGTTGGTTTGGGGTTGGGTTAATTAAAAAAATAAATTGTTTTACATACAGAAATCAGTAAGTTGAATCCCCCCGCTACTTGGAAGCAGTTTTTGGGGGGGAAGGGGAGGATTTAGGGCTTTGTGTCTATTGAGACTTTCGATCTATATTTAAGTACTATCAACCTGCGAAGTTTCAAAAAAATTGACCGAAAGCCACTTCCCATAAGAAAAGTGCGGGGTCCTTTAGTGATTCTCGTACAACATGGTTTTGAGACATAAAAAAGACTTCTTAAGGGCAGATTTCAGGGGGCTGTAACTCAGAAAGAGGAAGCCAGTTGGCAAAAAGAAAAAATACGGGTCCCCCTAAATTTGTCTTAAGAATCTATGACCAAATTTTGTTGCATGAATTTCGGGACACCCTGTACATACAGGCTATTTGGTAAGTCGATGCATTCCTTGCAGGAGGTTATAGTACAAGTGATTTGTGATATATTTCCTTACTATACCAAATTCCGAAAACGTTTAGTTTCCGATCTACAGGGTGATAAAGTTTTAATAAGAAAATGCAAATTTATAAATATTGCGGAAACCGTTCAGAATATTTTAATGAAATTTTACAGGCTTTGAGTTATATAACAATACATGTTTAAAGATAAATGCCGTTATTATGTATCACTTCCTCACTCGTGCGCATTTTTCGGGCATAAACCAACTCTTTTGTCCTACCCCATACATAAAAGTCTAACGGAGTTAAATCTGGGCTCCTAGCAGGCCATTGTATGGAGCTTCTTTTCCCGATCCACCAATTTGGATAACGCTGATCAAGGTAGTCCCTTACAGTTTGCCGATAATGTGCAGGACATCCGTCATGCTGGAATGTCATATTCTAGCGAATATTTAGCGGCACATTTTCTAGTAGTGGTGGCAGGTGATTAATAAGGAAGTCTTTGTATCTTTCTCCATTTAAAAAGTCGGGCAGAAAATGTGGCCCAATTAAGTGATCGTTTATTACACCACACCAAACATTAATACTGAACTGTGTTTGGTAATTACGGTTTGACGTTAAGACATGGATTTTTCTCGGCCCAGTAATGAGCATTATGGTAGTTAGTAATCCTTTCTCGATTAAAATTGGATTTGTCGGTCCACAAAATTCTTCTGAGAAAAGTTGCATCTTCCATACAGCATTTAACATAAATCTGCAGAAGTTCATTCCCCTTAAAGGATCCTCTTCAAGCAAGTCTTGAACCGGTATATAATGATATGAATGTTGTTCCTCTTTGTTCGTCGCTCAAATCCACTGTGACACCCTAAGACGACTAGCAACGATGCATATGCTCGCCATCGGATCTTCCTGAAGACCACTAAGAATGGTTTCTTCGTCATTAGGGCTGTAACATGCAGGAGCTCCTACATGAATTTGCCTATGGTGTATAGTTCCTGATTCACTGACCATTTCGATAAGTGTTTGCAAAGACACGGATATTTGGAAGTCGCCCGTTTGGAAAGCGATTCCGATATTCTCGACATGCTTCAGCAGCATTTCCATCGTAAAGTCCATACATGTAAAGAATATCTGCGTATTCAGCATTCGAAAACGTAGCCATTTCAGTAAATAAGTCGCACAACTAACGTGAACTCACTCGAAATTACGTAAAATGCACAAACCAGGTTGAGCTCTTAACTGCTTCACACTCAACACTCAAAGTGACAGCTATTATTAATTTTGTTAAACTATAACAAAAGAGTGCACAGCCAACTGGCTAATTTCTGTTTAGATAGTGAAGTGAATCTAAAAACTGATAAAAATTTTTTAGACTGATGTTAACTGCGAGGAGTAATAATTTTTTGTAATACAATTGGTACAAAAAAGCTGAGTGCATAATTTCTGCTATTTTTCAAATTATTGAAACCGGATACGCCATGCAATAAATCGATTTTAATTTTTTTACTCAAAAACGGTGCGTCATAAGAAAAACAGTCAAGATACCTTTTCCCATCCAAACTGAACAAGGAATTGAAAAATAATTTTTATTTTAAGAAAAATCAGTGAAACTGAAAACAATATTTTATCGTAAAACATGTATTGTTGTTAACTGTCAAAGCTTGTAAAATTTCATTAAAATAAGAAGAGCGATTTCCGCAATATGTATAAATTTTAATTTTTTTATTAAAACTTTAACACCCTGTAAATCGGAAACTACCATTTTGTACTTACCTTTAATCTGGACTATTGTAGAAATATAATTAAATAATAATTCAACAGAGAACTCAAAAATATATATTTCTTTGATTACACAACATAAAAAAAGTAACTAAAAAAACTTCCAAATTTTGACTGTAATCAATTACGATGGTATCATTCCTCTATTCCGTTTCCATTGAGCACCACCCTTTCTATTGTGGTTTGCTCTGCTGGATTTATTAACATTCTTCTTATCCCTAGCTTTCTGTACATTTTGTTCTTGTCCTTGACCCTTTGGCTTTCCAATTACATCGCCTTTCTTCTGAGAAGTCTGAGGCTGAGGATTCTTAGATCGGAATCTTGCTTCACGCCTTTCCCTAATTTGTGCTGGATCTTCACAGAAATTCATTTTTGATCTGAAAAATTAAAATAATGACATTTATTTATTTATTTATTTATACTACTTTTGTACCTGTTATTTGTTGTTTCATTAGATTTTAGTTTATTAAGAGGTTTTCCATTATCATCATATTCATCATCTGACGAATAACTCGTATCACTGGCTAAGTCTTCGTGATTAGGATTGAAAGTAAGAATTTCTTCTTCTATAGGATTATCAGCCACTTTTATAGGCACATCATCATCAAACCTATCATCGTATTCATCATCATATAAGTAATCATTGCTGTATTGTCTAAAATATTAAAATTATTAAGTATATTATTTAAATAAAATTTTGTCATATTCGTAATCATACAAGTAATCACTGCTGTATTGTCTAAAATATTAAATTAATTATATTCTTTTAATAAAATTGTGTCGCCTTACATTCCATCCAAAACGAATGTTTTCAATTTTTCCATGTCCCGTTTGTCATTTAACAATTTCAGAGCATCATCATAGTCGGGTTTTTTGCCTGTATAAGCCAAGGAAGGTTTTTCAGGTTCAGGTTCAGGTGGAATCCTTATGGAATCAAACGGAATATCATATAAGTGAGGTGGCAAATTTTCTTCAAGGATCGCATTTGTTACATCTGCCGAGTTATAATTATAGGCTTCTAAACATTGTAACACAAATCCTACAATTGAGAAGTGTGTCAACATTTTTAGAAAAATAGTGATAAATAGGGTGTGCCACATAACACCGCCACTGGTGTTCCCTTAAAAACTAAAAGATGTATTTTAAAATGATACTAATCGTAGTCGTAAGTAAAAGGTTCAACTAGGCATAAAAATATTTCATTCTTGTAGACGGTGTTGTGCAAAGAAGTTCTTTGATCTTGGGAATAATGAACAATTTTTTCCATATTAAATAATACTTTAAAATCAACAATCTCGTCAAATATTTGATCCTTTATTTACAGTAATTTCTGCTATATGCATACCCAGTACGTACTAAGAATATATTCATCCTTTATTATTCAAGTTGATAGTAGATGATTGAAGATATACTCAGTGTGCACTTTATACAAAAGTGCAAATATTTTATTATTTTATTTAATGGCACACCCTTAGTATATTTTATTTGTTGTCCGATTTATATCAACCATGACAATATAATAGCAACTGGATTATTCAATTGTTATCATCAAGATTGACCATATTCTTTTACCTCGATGACAAATTTCACATCAATCATACATTCTGTATAACAGTTATAGGAATGTGTGGAGTATCATTTTTGTCAAAAAACAATAAATAAAATTGCAAATATCTAACAAACAACTGATTTTACANTTCTTGCGCTAGTTTTTGGATTTTGTTGAACTAAATTTAAAATATTGTTCTGTTCTTGAGCATCTTGATGTAAATTACGCTCCACATTTTTTGGGGTTGGAAACATCCCGTGTTGTCTTGACTACTGGAAGACTTTACTAAAAGTTTTATAATTTTTTATAAAAACGACCAGGAAAACGTGATATTCCCTTTGTGCTGTCCTACTATTCCCATTGCAAAACCCATAGATGAATACCATGTCAGCACATTCTTCGTTTGAAAATAATTGCGGCATGTTTAAATTACAAAATTTAAAGAATTACCTAAATGCAAGTTAATGAATACACAATAACACCAGTAAATAGTTTGTTGTCAAACAATTCACTATTTAATTATCAGTCACTTAGTAGGCCTATTAATTTACATCAAGATGTTCAAAAAGAGAATAATATTTTAGATCCAATTCAACAAACTGCAAGGTCTAACATAAGTTTGACTATTAATATTTCTCAATGGTATGGAAAACATTGAAAATGAACATACAACAATCACTCATGGCTTTTTCGCATTGATTACTTAACCACCGTCCGGTCATTTACAGAACCTTATTTATTAATGAGTTGCAATTTACAAAAGATGGGGTAAATAAATAACTCAAGAAACGACTATAAATGGGCACAGCAATACCCATCTGCAAACGCTTATGTAATTCACAGTACAGATTTACTGTAAATGTTTGGGTAGATCTACATGAATGGCAATCGAAATCTACGGATTATAATTTATTTTTTGTCATGTGTTTTTATCATGCGTATTTAAATAATCATCAAAGTGTAACAAGAAAAAGAGACATGTCGCTGAGATTACTTTTTATGTTCTTTTCGATAATCGTATGGGAATACCAAAAAATACATACAAGGCGATGTTTTCTAGTTAAAAAAAAAATTAAAAATTTTGCAGTCCGGACGTGGAATATATATTATTTAAAGAAAATGAGGTTTAAAATATGCATGCTTATTTATAACATCTACCTTCAATTAAGCCTTCGCTAATTTTAGTTGCAAAACCATTTTTATCATGTGTCCTTTACGTAATTTACTTTTAGAAGCCGTAGTCTCGTATATTCAATAGCTTATTTAAATAACCACCAAAGTGTAAAAAAAAAGAAACTTGTCTTTAAAATCACTTTTTTATGCTCTTTCCGAATATCGTATGGGAATTTCAAAAAAATACATACAGAGTGTTGTTTTCTAGACTTGCACAAAAAATTTACAATTTTTGCAGTCCGGACCTGGATTTTTTTGCTGTCATACATGCATACATGAAGTATCGTGAGTGCATTAACCCTACCAAATATGAACCCATTATTCCATTCCCTACCAAAGTTATGACATAAAGCAGTTTTGACCAAAAATCATAAATCACCCTGTATCACAATAAAGAATGGCCAAGGATCTATTTCTATAGTTACCTTAGATATCCTCTATCTCCCATTAAGCTAGGTCCCTCTCGTGATGCAACACCCTGTATATAAAGCCATATAACTTTTATTTATTATTGATAAATTAATTTAACATACGTCTTTATTAAATAAAAATGAATTACATACTCAAAAATAAGTAATAAAACAATATTGTCATAAATTCAG